GAGACACACACACACACACACAGAGAGAGAGAGAGAGAGAGAGACCCAAATTGTATTAATGCCTTTACAGTTTAGACCTCAACTTCCCATTTCTGACCACTGCCAAACAGTCCTTTACCTGAAACAGTCCTGTGACAGGGTCAGAACTCCCCTCAAACATGAAAAACTGTTCCCCTTAAAACCAAAACTCAGCTGGAACCAATCTAACACGGAACAATTCAAAGAAAACATGAGCAGCTCTGCAATACTACAAATACTGGACGACTTTATGTCCACAGATTTCACTCCAGATACTAATGGGATAAACTCAGCAACATCCAATCTTAATTATATATTTCAAACTTTGGCCACTATATCTAACATTAAACAACAGAACAAACATAGAATAAACAAACAAAAAATAAAAAAAGAATATGTGGTTTGATAAGGAATGCAATTGTCTCAGAAAAGACCTTCGAGGACTTGCTAACAAAAAGCATACAGAACCGGCCAATCAGACGCTACGGCTCGCAGGGTTCGTACGGTCGGTAAAATAATGGAACATTTAGGTCATGAATATTGTCTCAAAAGTCATGGAAAAGTCATGGAAATTTATTGGTAAAAATGTGTACGAACCCTGGGCTCGCCTACTCCAACTGTTTGAAAAATTATAAAAAGCTCATTTGCAACAAAAGAGATCAATATTATGAAGCTAAAATTGCTGAAATCGATGAATCAGTAGACCAAAACAATTTGGGATGCAAAGAAAAGACAGTTCATTCAATTCCAGGAACTGAACATTCAAGCACCCAGGGCTTTTTCTCTGGTGTTTATTGAGAACAGGGAATTTCTTGTTGGCTCTAGTTTTAAGGGGCAAACGCGTATATATGAACACCTGGTCCTTGACTTGAGTAGCTGATTTGCTTCTCTGGGACAGTTGAGGACACTGATAAAAGAGAGTCTCAATGGATCTCACGAAGAACACGTCCCGGTCATATTTAATTCTGAAATCAAAAAAAAAGAGACTTTGATTTTTTTTAAGTAAATGAAGCCTGTTTTAGGAATCAATTCTCTATACTGTATTTTTTTTAATCGTACAGTAATAATTGCTTAGTCTTCAGAAGAAATATTGTCACCAGGCATAAAACTCATAACGATAATAAATGGTGACCCTGGAGCACAAAACCAGTCATAAGTGTCAATTTTTTCGAAATTGAGATTTATGCATCATCTGAAAGCTGAATAAATAAGCTTTCCATTGATGTATGGTTTGTTAGGATAGGACAATATTTGGCTGAGATACAACTATTTGAAAATCTGGAATCTGAGGGTGCAAAAAAATCTAAATATTGAGAAAATCATCTTTAAAGTTGTCCAAATGAAGTTCTTAGCAATGCATATTACTAATCAAAAATTAAGTTTTGATATATTTACGGTAGGAAATTTACTAAATATCTTCATGGAACATGATCTTTACTTAATATCCTAATGATTTTTGGCATAAAAGAAACATCAATAATTTTGACTCATACAATGTATTTTTGGCTATTGCTACAAATATACCCCAGCGACTTACTGCTTTTGTGCTCCAGGGTCACAATTAAGCTTCATTTTCTTTATGCAAAACACCATTTCTTCTTTTTTCTCCTTTCGATTTTGGAGTGAAATATGACTAGGAGGTTTTCATCAGATTCACCCGCCTCTTCTCAGCATGAAGACTCTTTGCAGATGACTTGCATGATGGTGCCGTTAATTTAGGTACCGCAACTGAAATTATCCAAGGTTTTCTTTTACATGATCTTCTCATGCACTCATTCATTTCTGTTGTGTTTTTACTTTGTGACTGCTGTACTTTCATTGAAATACGTGCTATTCTATTTATTCATGTTTATCTCAAATGAATGTGACAACTTGTTTACTGCTTTCTCAACTTGTAAAGAATGTATTTTTATGTGGCAGCTAGGTGACATGGGTGGAAATTTGAAATACAGATTGACAGTTTGAGTAGTGTAGCGATTGCCTGTTTGATTGAACCGTATTTACTACTAACAGTATAACCAATGTCTGTACCGTTTTCAACAAGATGAAAATATTTGTAAAGAGATGAAGAGATTCTCTATCACCACTTGATGAAACTGATGTTGTTCTACTGGATACGTTTATGCATGCAGTTTCATGCCTACATTTTGGAGACACTGATACTAACTTTAAATAAAGACTTTCCAGAATCTTAAACGTTTTATATTGTCAAATTGCAAGAGGTAATTAAATTGCAAAAAGCTAATCAATGTCTTCAGGATTATTAGAAACTCCAGGAAGGTGTGTTGGGCCCCATGCTGGTTTTTAGATAAACAGGACGTGATTATAACATTATATGAATTATATGAAGAAGAAATAATCATGGGGGAAAAAACAAACATTTGAGATGATAATAGATGTATTTCCCTTTATTTTTAACTGTTTCTGTTCAGCATACAAATAATGATGGTCAACAATTGAAAATCAATTTTTATTAAAGACCAAAAAGTTCCATAACAGGATATCAATGTTGTATTTTTTCATCCTTGTTAAAAGCTCTGAGATATCTGTGTTTCAGCTAGAGAGTAATGTCAGGCTGAAGCCTATTTATTTGAAAGCAGATGAATTATAAGAAATTGCAAAGCCAGAATCAGGTTATTTTTATGTCATCAGCGCACAACATAGGTTAGCAATGCAACTAAACCAACATACGATACCCATACCGGGGGTTGACAAACTTTTAACATGCCGGAGGTCACCACTTTCACTTTCTATGTTTACTGACAAAATACACATCAACTGAAAGATCTCAAATTTGTGCTTGACCACTGTTTTATATCTATTAGTGACCAAAATTCACAGGTTAGGGTTAGAAAGAAATGACTCCAAAAATTGTGCCCCTTCAAAAAAAAATAATAATTTAGGTAGATGGCTCAACATTCCTGTGCCAAAACACTACTGTCTGCTGACAACAGTTAAGCAATAGTCAGCGAGAAAGCTGTTATACAGTAGAGCCGTTCAGTCACGTACACCTTCACATCAATGAATTCAATCAATGAAAGTGCAAACAATTGCAGGAACATTTAATAAAGACATGGCACTGAGTAAATGCTTGTTCTTAAATTAGCAAGGCTCCAGACTTAAAAAAGACAACGGAGAATTAGAATTTATTTAAGAATCAACTGCAGTCACTTTTTTGTTGTTGTCAAGATCATTATTACAAATTTATGCATAACCGCTTATACACTCCATTTAAGAGCTGCCCTACAACTTGCAATTAAATGTAATCACTTTTGAGGTTATTTCACTCTGAACAGACCAAACACACCATTATTACAGACATGCCTCTGATAAAAAAAGACAAGAAAAAAAAGGCTGTCAGTCAGGCAAGGACTGAAATTGCAAAATTAAGCATTTGTAGCATAATGTTGGTTACAATCAAACTAAAGAATTTTGATGCAAAAAAGAGAGAGAGATAAAGATTACAATGGAATTAAAAAGGTGCCAAAAATGTGAATTTCCTGTGATGTGGCTTGATGAGTTTTCGTCAATGTGTTGACAAATTTCTGAATAAAAAAGACTCCCAATTTATATTTGACATGAAACTGTTACAGAACATAACTGGTCATTTATAGTAATGGTTATAGTTTAGTAATGGAAAAGCGTGTCATTTATATTGAAGCATGGCACCAGTCGTGTTATTCCGTTTATGATGCCGAGGCTGTCTAACCGGTTGAGATGTTTGTTCTCAAACCTATCGTGTCCCCAGTTTTTTAACTGACAAACTCTGAAAGCAAGCAGAACTCGTACTTGCAAATGTGAATAAACTCACGATAAGATGATGCTTTTGGTAAACGTGCTGTACTTGAGTGTGACTAACAATCACCCATCCTTCATATACAGTAGAAATTCATTCAAAAGCATCCATTCTATTCTGTTGATGAATACTTTTCAGTGGTTGATCACACTCAATATCCTCTCTACACCATCTCCTCTGCGACTCGGCCTCAGACGATGATGAAATACGACAAAACCAATAAAGTTTTTAGATTTTAAATTATCAATATAAAATGTTATTTTTTGTCACATTGGCAACCATTTTAGTGGCATAATATGAATAAGATTCAGGTTCTTTTTTTTATGACTTTGACCACTGTTTTATATATATTGGTGACCAAAATTCACAGGTTAGGGTTAGAAAGAAATGACTCCAAAAATTGTGCCCCTTCAAAAAAAAATAATAATTTAGGTAGATGGCTCAACATTCCTGTGCCAAAACACTACTGTCTGCTGACAACAGTTAAGCAATAGTCAGCGAGAAAGCTGTTATACAGTAGAGCCGTTCAGTCACGTACACCTTCACATCAATGAATTCAATCAATGAAAGTGCAAACAATTGCAGGAACATTTAATAAAGACATGGCACTGAGTAAATGCTTGTTCTTAAATTAGCAAGGCTCCAGACTTAAAAAAGACAACGGAGAATTAGAATTTATTTAAGAATCAACTGCAGTCACTTTTTTGTTGTTGTCAAGATCATTATTAAAAATTTATGCATAACCGCTTATACACTCCATTTAAGAGCTGCCCTACAACTTGCAATTAAATGTAATCTCTTTTCACTTTTGAGGTTATTTCACTCTGAACAGACCAAACACACCATTATTACAGACATGCCTCTGATAAAAAAAGAAAAGAAAAAAAAGGCTGTCAGTCAGGCAAGGACTGAAATTGCAAAATTAAGCATTTGTAGCATAATGTTGGTTACAATCAAACTAAAGAATTTTGATGAAGATCATTATTAAAAATTTATAACTAACCGCTTATACACTCCATTTAAGAGCTGCCCTACAACTTGCAATTAAATGTAATCTCTTTTCACTTTTGAGGTTATTTCACTCTGAACAGACCAAACACACCATTATTACAGACATGCCTCTGATAAAAAAAAAAAAGAAAAAAAAGGCTGTCAGTCAGGCAAGGATTGAAATTGCAAAATTAAGCATTTGTAGCATAATGTTGATTACAATCAAACTAAAGAATTTTGATGCAAAAAAGAGAGAGAGAGAAAGATTACAATGGAATTAAAAAGGTGCCAAAAATGTGAATTTCCTGTGATGTGGCTTGATGAGTTTTCGTCAATGTGTTGACAAATTTCTGAATAAAAAAGACTCCCAATTTATATTTGACATGAAACTGTTACAGAACATAACTGGTCATTTTTAGTAATGGTTATAGTTTAGTAATGGAAAAGCGTGTCATTTATATTGAAGCATGGCACCAGTCGTGTTATTCCGTTTATGATGCCGAGGCTGTCTAACCGGTTGAGATGTTTGTTCTCAAACCTATCGTGTCCCCAGTTTTTTAACTGACAAACTCTGAAAGCAAGCAGAACTCGTACTTGCAAATGTGAATAAACTCACGATAAGATGATGCTTTTGGTAAACGTGCTGTACTTGAGTGTGACTAACAATCACCCATCCTTCATATACAGTAGAAATTCATTCAAAAGCATCCATTCTATTCTGTTGATGAATACTTTTCAGTGGTTGATCACACTCAATATCCTCTCTACACCATCTCCTCTGCGACTCAGCCTCAGACGATGATGAAATACGACAAAACCAATAAAGTTTTTAGATTTTAAATTATCAATATAAAATGTTATTTTTTGTCACATTGGCAACCATTTTAGTGGCATAATATGAATAAGATTCAGGTTCTTTTTTTTATGACTGCAATCAAAGACACATTAGAACAGTCAGCAGTTCATAACATCTCACCGTCGCTGCGTGTAGCTTTAATGCAAGCAGTCTGGGTGTGTATAAATGTGTGAAGCAGCAGTCGTGTTAGAAGGAGTAGGGTCCCACGATGATGGTGAGCCGTAGTAAAGCGCTTGAGCGATAGTTCATCACTGTGTGTTGAGTGATCATCTCCAGATCAACGATCAGCTCCTGAGGGCCCTCCAGGGACTTGGTCAAGACCAGCATCGCACCAACGCTGCTGAACCGCTAATGCAATTAATGACAAATACATGGAAATCAGACATACGGCAAAACAGCAAAATATTCCCAAAATATCATCGAATTTCCTTAATGATGGTGATGAGAAATAAATGTAGTTTTAATCAAAATCTACATTATTTGTGTGCAGACTGACAGAAGCTCAAGCAGACATGAGGTAGTGGTAGAGCACTCTTCAATCCACAGCCTCGAAAGAGGCAACCTAGTTTTTTAACCTAGTTATAAGCATTGTATTTGGCAGAACAGTCTTCCTAATTCTGCTGTGAGCCAGTTGTTGTTGTTAAAGACCCTGCATGTATATAGTATTTGTTAAATTCAGGCATCTCCATATCTCACATGAAATTGTGTGGTACATATTTACAACATACCAACATACAGTAGCTCCAAATACCAAATACATTGGGTAGCTCCCCCTCCTGCTGCCAAAACAGCTCTTAAGACCTCTGAATGTGTCCTGTAGTAGCTGGCATCAAGACATTAGTAGAAGATCCTTTAAGTCCTGCTTGTGAGGTGGGGCAACCATGGATTGGATTTGTTGGTCCAGCACATCCCATAGATGCTCAAACGGATTGAGATCTGGGGAATTTGGAGGCCAAAGCAACACCTTGAACTCTTTGTCATGATCCTCAAACCATTCCTGAACAGTTTTTGCAGTGGGTCAGGGTGCATTATCCTGCTGAAAGTGGCCATTGTTATCAGGTTTCCCAATACAACATTGTCCAGAGAATAACTCTGTCTCCGCCGGTATGCTTTTTTCTCATAGTGCATCTGCTGCCATCTCTTTCCCAGGTAAATGACTCACACATACCCGGCCATCCACCTGAACTATAAGACCAGGCAATCTTCCACTGCTCCATGCTCATGTACCCACTGTAGATGCTTTCATGGCTGACAGGGTTTGTCATGGGCACTCTGACCGGTTTACGCAGATTCATAAGCAGCAAACTGTGATGCACTGCATGCTTTGACATCATTCTGTCATGGGCTGCATTGTTGTTGTTTTTTTGCATTTTTATACTACATTATCTCTTCTGTGTGATCGGACCGGTCTGCCTAGTATCTGTTCCCTACATGCATCAATGAGCCCATGACCCTGATGCTGGTTCACTGACGGTCCTTCATTGCATCACAGTTGGTAGGTACTCTACTAACCACTGCATACCAGGAATACCCCACCAGACTTGATGTGTTGGAGCTGCGCTGACCCAGTCGTCAATTCAAAGTCACTCAGATCTCTTCACTTGCCCATTTTTCCTGCTTTCAACTCATGTAATTCAGGAACTAACTGTATATTTGCTGCCTAATATATGAAACGCCTTAAAGGGGTCATATGATGCGATTTCAAGTTTTCCTTTCTCTTTGGAGTGTTACAAGCTCTTGGTGCATAAAGAAGATCTGTAAAGTTGCAAAGACTAAAGTCTCAAATCCAAAGAGATATTCTTTATAAAAGTTAAGAGTCAACCACACCTACCTAAAACGCCTCGTTCTAACACGCCCCCACATATCTACATCACTATGTGGAAATATTAGCATAATGCCACCCAAAATGTGCACGCAAAGAAAGAAGGCGTAACTTTTATCCTCGCTGTAGTATTGTTGTTGCCGCCACCGCCATGTCGTGAAGGCGCTGTGTG